TAGAAGCCGAGACGAAGATAGGAGGACAAGCTCGCAAGCTTCCTAGGAGAAGGGAGGAATGGAACAAGCTCGCAAGCTTTTCCACGAAGAAACCCACATGTTTAGGCTCCCAAAAATAACTCACATAACATCTTTTAAACATACAAAACATCTTCTATTTATAGGACCAAAGAGGGCAACCAAACAGCCCTTTTATCTTCATTAAATCCCATTAAATTATTTCCAAAAATCTGTACAGAAATCAGCCCAGATTTAATCCCAAAATAGCACTTGAAAAGCCACCAAAAAGGGGCAGCTTTCACTCCTAAAACAACCACCGAACAGCCACTAAAACAACATCTGAACAACCACTGAAACAACACGGCATCCCACAAAGCTGCACAGAAAAAACATGGGGAAATAGCTACGGGAAACCAGCCAGAAGTCACGGGAAGCCCAGCCAACAACGGACCTAAAGAGCGAGCACAGGAAACAGGGCATCACTTCACGGGAAAACAGCAAGGGGAAATACCGAGAGGGAGAGACTACAAGAACAGCAACATACAGTAGAAACCAAAAAGGCAAAAGGGGAAGAGGAAGGCCAAAAGTCTACTCCTCAATAATGATCTAAAAAGAAGTATACCTTTTTGATTTAATGAGCTAGGAAGTGCATTTATTCCCCCAATTATTGAGCTAAACTTCATCTCAATCATTAATGAGCTAACATCAAGTAGAATCTAGAATTTTGAGCTCAACACCAAGCAGTCAAGGCCCACCCGAGAGCAGCAACATCACCAAATCGAGAAACAACAATCGGCCCAAAGCTTGCCTACCTCAATTCTCCTCCAGTTGAAAGAATTTATCTCCTGATGAAGCTTGAGTTTGCTCACTTGACACCAATACTCAAATGACAACATGACTCAAAAAACAAAACTTACATGACAGCAAAACCTAGGATATACTAACTTGCTCTGATATTGATGTAGGCAAAGGGGGGGTCAACACAATTCATATGGGCCTTGGCTATTTTCGGTTTTGAGCTTTAGCTGTTGAATTTTTAGTTGGTGCAAGCTCATTAATATCTAGTAGGAGTGTAGCTCATTATGAGCTGATGTTTAGTTATAAAATTAATGTTTGGGAGCTAGATTAGATGAGTAGAACTTGTTCTTTCATATTCCTCTTGAATTAAAGCTGCTGCAGTTTTTTTTTCTTCTCTGGTTTTCTCTCCCACGGGCTGCTGCAGAGTGTCTCTTGGGTTGCTTTTGCACGGCTGGCTCAGGATTTATTTCCTGTGGTCCCTCCTTTTCCCAATTGCTGCTGGTTCAGTGAATCTGCCCTCTTTGCTGCCGTAACTTCTTCTCCCTTTTCCCGTGAAAAGACTCCTGGTTTCCTGTGCTGAAACCGTGGCTTGTGCTGGCTAATAAATATAAAAAATAGTTTGCTGTTGGTAACCCTGCTCCTAAGGTAGCGGTCCACCAAACATGCATGCAGTACTTTTTGAAAAAGACAACGGAACTCAGCAAGTAACTACTATCTATCAACGCATAAAAGGCAAAAAAAATGGGGAATACAATATGAACAACCAAAAGTGGGGAGTACTAACCTGTAACACTATATCAAAAACTATCATGAGATATGTCATGCTTTCTACAACATATTTTAATATGCATGAATATATGCCAATTAACTATTGATGTCAAATCAATTCAAAGTTTACAACTGCATAGAATCACACAATGCAAGTTCTGTTACAAATAATCAACATGTATTATGAAATTCAACATGACAATTACAATTTATATAACAAACATGATTTATTACATGAGAATCATGTACTGTGTTAAATAGAACTAATGTATATGAATTTAACCTTTTACAGCATGAGCCATTTTAAATGCTAAGAGCTTGTTCATCAACAAATCAAAATAATACTATTTCTGTCACATGATGATTTCAATATGAGTTATAAATATGTTTTTTGACATAACATAATAATAATAAATATTGGGAATAGAACCAGTAATATAATATTTGAAAACCTATCACAAACAAGATTATAAAGCTCCTAACAAAGAAGGGTACCTTTATTCCAAAATAAATAATAGTTACTTACAGTGGTCGCTATTAACTCCAACCTCAAAAGCGGCTCGCTTGTCTCCACCAAGTGACAATCTTAAACATAACAAAACTAAAATAACATTAAGCACGTTCATCAAGGCATAATGAAGAATATTTCAATCAACCATAGCCACGCCAGAAACATCAAAATTGATTATGAAACAATACAATACAAAAATATGTAAATAATCTAGGTTTAGTCAAATCGGACATCAACACATAAAGCTATTTCCTAAAGCAATATAAACTACTAAAATAAAATAAAATTGAAATGAAATGTCCACTAAACTAAAACTAATTAAATAAGGGAAAGAAACTTGACGATACAACTTGATAAATACAAAGAAAACAATAAAAGAGTGGGAGGAGAGAAGAGAAGATGAAGAAGCTTACTATTGAAGGAGAAAAAGAAGATTAAATAAGATGCTTAGTGATTTTGTCGATTAATCAATCAATAGTTGCGAGAGGGATGAGGGCCTTTGGTGGCTGCTATGAGGGAGAAAAGAGGAGAAAAATGATGCACTAGTTTCCAATTCTCCTTAAATATTGAGAGAGAGGCAACGAGGTGGGAGAATATGTCAAATATGGGAAGAAATCGTGATTTGGAGGGAGAGACAGTTGACAAGGGCGGTTAGTTCGCAATTCGGGCGAAGGAGTGGGAGGGTAGACCGGCTTGCGTGAGTGTGAGAAATCTCGGACCGAACTGATCCTGTTCAATATGCAACAGAGAGTTGAGTGAAGAAGAAGTGGCCGAAGCATTCCGCCGTTTGGGAGATGAAATGAAGGATTTGTCGTTTCATTTTTGTGAGGAAGGCGAGCAGTTTTCGTCGTGTCTCTATAGAAAACCAAGAGGAGACATAGGGAGGGCGAGCGTGGAATGAACTTCAACAATGCACGAGGGAGATAGAGAGAGAGAAGAAAGAGAGAAGAAGAGCTCGTGTGTGAGAACCGGACCTGGCTGGTTCAACTGAACTTGCTAGTTATTTAAAACTATGGACCGCGACTCACAGAAGGAACTGAGCTGAGACGTCCGCGACCTAGAGCGGGCTGATCATTTGCGTGGGCAATTCTGGATGGTTTGTTTTGCTTTTTTGAGTGAACGATTGTATTTGGGGATAAATTTTACCAACTCCTCTTAACTGCTTTTCATTCCTATCACTAAAGAAGTGGAGAGTTGGAAGAGACGACAATGAACAAGAGGAATGATGGATAATGGGTGATTACCATTGTGTATAGACATTTTATATTTTATTGTTAAACGTCTATTTTAAATTCTAAAAGTAATGTTTACTTATCTTTTGATATTATTATGTGACAAGATTCAAATGAATATGTGATATGTATTAAAGATATATATGCATATGTAAATGAATAGATATATGATACTTATAGACATAAGAATATAATTAAAGAATTATGAAAGAATAATATGACCTATATGATAAATAAAAGGTATAAATAAACAAATGATAAAGGGAAAATGATATGCATGCAAAATTACAGGAGTTCAACCCCGTAGGGTACTGGCTGGAGAAGCAACATACTCGCACACGTTAAATGGAAATAAAAAAGGAAAAAGAAATGGTTGTACCTTTGGTACATTTAGACGGTGCCATTGTACTAATCAAATTGAGAAATGAATACTTGTTAAAGTGTTATAAATGTTATAAATGAGTATGATATGATAGATATAAATGAATGAAATGAACCAAAGAAAGAAAATGTGTATCAATGTACAATTATTGAAAGTGAGAACCCTTTAGCCTCTTAACAGTGACTTAGCCCGTTATTAATTTTGTCACCCTTTAGACAGGTCCTAACTTGCGAACCTATTCCATATGATATGACTCATAGGCTTCCCTTTAACATCAATATTATAAAGCATTATTATGAACACGTCATCATTAATTTACATCAACATGTTTCTTTGAGTGAACAAAATACCAGCATTTCATTTTAAAGAATTAGGTGCGCTTGAAATACTCTTACAAGTAGGGCAACATGTGAGAGTAACATATAATTACTTGAATTTGTGTGATGGATAATGAGACTTGTATAATGGGAAAGTAATATGTAATAGGCCTAAGCACATAAGCATGTGCAATATAGTAAACTAACAAGTAACACTTGGTGAACTAGCATTATGCTTAATATGAAGAGATGCCTACTAACCTTACACACATAAGATCAGTGACATATTGTAGGCAATTAACAGGTAATAGACTTAAGAATACTTTACTCTCTATGTTAAATGTTGAGTATCTCACAATAAATGATAGATCAACTTGAACTAGCTTCCTTGCATAGATCATCACAAAACCTCGATCTTTTATGCATAATCCAAGAAACATTAAGTTCTTCAAATTACATAAAATTCACTAGCCTACTCAAAATCAAAATAAAATAAACTTTTTCCCTCAAATTAATCCATCATGAAACTCTACAGCTACCAATCTCAATCTTCAGTTGATTCGTCAAAAATATTAGAAAAATTTGGATTTCCTTGAGGCCATTTTAATCTTGCCTTTGTATATTGACCTTTTTTTTAGTGTCACACCTTTTCTTTTCCTTAAATGCTTTATACCGTTTTCTTCCTTTCTCAAAATTCAAGTCATCAGAGCCATGGTTCCTCTGTTGAAAGCGCCTCATCATTGCATCCATTCATGGAATTTTTAATCGTTAGTGATTGTGATATTGAACTATTTGGTTAGAAACGTTAGTTTATATGAATTGATATTTGTTTTTCCCATTTTATTGGATAATGTGTTCTCTACAGCATAAGACAGTTAATTTTAACGCGTTATGATTCTGCTAAGATCTGGTTATGTAACGATTATAGAATAGTTGCTGTGCAACATATTTTTCAGGACATTGCAAATTTTGTGCTTGCTGTTTATCTGCAGGAGACCAATCTACTTATGGGTACGCTAATTGTTGTGCTTGAGGAAATTCTTTTATCACGGTTGGAATTGCTGAACCTGATATTTTCAACTTTTCTGAAGCAGTCTTGTAAGACTCGTTAGACGTTATATATTTCATTGATCATTCATTTAGCATTAACTGCGTTATGTTTTTTTTTCTATAGCAAGCATGAACAAGATATTACAAAAAATTACCTTTTTGGCTCCTAGATAGTTTTTTTCCTCGAATGCTGTTAGAATTAGATATATCTGAATTGAAATATTTATGCATGCATTCTGATGCTCAACTACAGCATAAATTTTTAAGTTCATGAGTTCTTGGCTTGCATGTCTTAATACTACAGGGTAATTTCCTTGAAGGAGATGATGAATAAGTCTGTAATATACTCTATGGTATAAACAACTCATGTGACAGTTTTGACACCAGATTTATGTAGTAGCACCTAAAAGGTTTTTGGTTTCTATGTTATCCTGTAGATTCTTTATAGTGATAATGATGCTTTCTTTGAGCAAAGTGTTTAACCTTCCATTGAGTGGTAAGCTGAAAGATAAGAATCTTCCTTTTACCTTAATTTGTGATCATATGTGAATTTAGTACCACCGGTAGATCATAATTATGAATGGTGCAAAATTGATGCTTTTGTTTGAGAAATTGAACTTCATATGTCCCATAATAATGAAAATAGGAGAAATATGCATGTTATTTGTTTTTTTGGGATGATAGGCTTGAAAGTTCATTTTTGACTAAAATAGCCTCATTGTTGACTGCAAATTACTTATCTGAAGTCCTCTATGACCAACATAAGTTCAAACAAAATTCAAACATGATTCGATTAAGCTTGGAACCATATGCGAGAAAAAATGAACTGTTTGTGTCACAATCTGGCCCGGAGGCTCGAATTAATGAAGCGGGAACAAATGGGCAGATAGTATATTAAATTTTTATTTGCTATATCTATCTCCAATAAGGGGCCATTAAAACTTCAAAAATATATAAAATGATATAAAATGAATTAAATACCTTTTATTCGGTATCTCATGTCTACGGTACACATTTTTACCTCTTCTACTTATTTTGATCATATTAAATTATATATGAAAATGTTAGAGCAATTAAAAGTAAGCTACAACTCAGTGAGTAAAACTTGCTTTTAAATTACAGTAACCCAATAAAATTGGAATAATATGCATGAGTATTTCAATTCATATCATAAAGTAATTTCATTAAATTAATTTCATTTCATGACTTTCATTAGTATGCTTGTATAATATCTTTCTTCTTTCTCATAAATAATACAACCGTTACAAGAGTCACCATCTAAAATAACACCAATAAAGGTACTCATTTTTCATTTTCTTTTTCTTTTCCATAACTTTTTTCAATGTTTAGAATTGCGTATTCGAGTATTGAGGCGTTTTTTGTTCGTAAGGCGAGGCGTAAGCCTCAAGGCGTTTTGAGGCGCAAGCCTCAAAATCAAAAAATTGCGTAAACAGAAAATGATAAATTTTGTATATAGTAATGAGTAAATAATATATAAAACATAAAAATGCACAATAAATGAAGTGAAATCAAAATATCCCAATAATGTATAAAACAAAACAACATGAAATATAGTTCAACTCAAACTCCATCTTTCCCAAATCACAGTATTCTTTTCATTAACCTATAAGAGTTATTTTGAGCGGTATCGGAACAAAATTTTATTGTAAGAGTTATTTTGAGCGGTACCGAGCGGTACTAGCTCGGTACCGAGCATGTACCTAGTGGTACCGATCATGTACTGCTCAGTACTGAGCATATACTGCTCAGTACCGAGCATATACCTGCTCGGTACCGAGCATATACCTGCTCGGTACCAAGCAGTACTGGCTCGGTACCGAGCATTTACCTAGTGTTACTGAGCATGTACTGCTCAATATCGAGCATGTACTGCTCTGTACCGAGCATAATTTTTAGAGGCGGATGCCTCTCAATCATGAGGCGAGGCGCGCCTCAGTAAACTTGAGGCATACGCCTCAAATCTTGAACTCATCGTGTAGGCATTGAGGCTTAAATGGATGAAATTGCGCTGAGGCGCGCCTCTTATTGCGCAATTACTGCTCAGTACCGAGCATATACTTCTCAGTACCGAGCATGTACTGCTAAGTACCGAGCATATACCTACTTGGTACCAAGCAGTACTGGATCGGTACCGAGCATTTACCTAGTGTTACTGAGCATGTACTGCTCAATACCGAGCATGTACTGCTCTGTACCGAGCATAATTTTTAGAGGCGGATGCCTCTCAACCGTGAGGCAAGGCGCGCCTTAATAAACTTGAGGCATACGCCTCAAATCTTGAACTCATCGTGTAGGCATTGAGGCTTAAATGGACGAAATTGCGCTGAGGCGCGCCTCTTATTGCGCAATTTTAAACCATGACTTTTTTTATTTACATGCAAGGGTACATTGTATCCTCAGTCAATATCATAAGGGGGTGTGCTCCATCAGTCAACATGCACATGCAACAATATATCTAGTCATTTCATTCTTATAACATTCATAAACTTTATATGATAATATGCAGCATAACATATAAATTTTCTTTAACTCAAGATGATCAATAATTGGGTATGAGAAACATAAATCATGATCTAGTTAATAATAAAGATTTCAAACGCATGTATTATCTTTCAAAACTTTTAATTGAAGAGAAAACAAAGTTATCATTCTAAATAAAGAAACATGAGTATTCACCTTGATTCTAGGTATCTTATTTCTTCACTCTTACTTTCGAGGTTAAATTATCACCTATATAAAATAATTTCTTATTCGCAATCTAACCTAATATTTTAAAATTTCTTCTTTTTTTAAAATATAGTTTAATTCATTAAAATAATTATAGAGTACTTCACTTATTAAAATTTTATTTGCTATTGAATTTTAAAATACATGTTGTGCTCTCTCCTACTCTCCAATTAGTTAGTTAATGCACCTAATTGCTCTTGTATTAATCAAATTTTTAAAGTTCTTATTTTATCATTAAATTTTAAATTACTAATAAAATTTACTCGCTTTCTAGATGAAAAAATTTTATTTAATTATTAAAATTTTCTAAATTAAATTTTTATATTAGTTTATTTATGATATCTCTTTTAACTCAATATTTTCATTTATTTCTATTTTAATTTAAAAAATCTTATATGAATTTATAGAATTTACTCTTTATATATAGAATTTTATCCCCAACCCTTCGGCTTCCACTGCACCTAAGGAAAAGAATGCTTTTCGGCTTCACACGATTTGTGTCGTTCGACTTCCACGACCTCGAATGTCTTCTTCTTCTACTTTTTCCCCCTTCAACTTCCTCGTCTCCTTTCGCTCAAGATACACACAACGGAAGCAATGTTTGACGGGGCATCATCCTTGAATGGATTTTGTCTGTTTCGAGTTTCGACTGCTTCTTCTTGTTTTCAGGTGACTAGAATGAATCATCTTCTTCATTCGGGTTATTACAATCTTCCCTACTTACAAAAATTTCATCATCAAAATTTATTTATAAATATTAGTTATAATATACTATCATGAGTTAAAGTGAACATAATTATTTGATACTTAAGCAAAATAGCATATTAAATTTCATTCACCATTACTTATATAACTAGATTACACAAACATTCGATATAACATAATAAGATAACTATATAAAAGGAAACATATGATATAATATAACAAATTGCTATATTAGATGATAAAGACATCTCAACTATCTTTGTCAACATCAATAGATTCATTGGGCTCCTACTGAGTCAAAACATAAACCCGCGGTCGAACATTTTGCCTTGATTGATTTTGTACTAGGGTTGAAACTGTTGATTCTATCATCTTCTGTTTACCAAAACTCTTTTGTGAAGGTGCTTCTCCTGACATCATCTATGCAGAAGTCCTTTGACCCAATGCAGGATAATATTTTGCAATGTGTCCAAGCTTACGACACCAATAGCAAGTGTTGGAACTCATCAGACATTCACCCTTATGTAATCTGCCACACTTTGCATAAGCTTCCATAACTTTACTGACAGTTGCACTACTGACTCCACTATGACTAAACTTAGGCTTCTTCCCATTTGATCCCTCAATCTGATTGCTTTGGATATCTTCTTCAATACTCTTCCTTTTATGTTGGTTTCTTCTCTTCTGAGTGATTTGGAAGTCTATCTCTGCCCTCCTAGCTCTTTATACCAACATTGAATAATCCTCGATTCCTAAATGCACTAAAGGTTGTCTAATTGTAACTTTTAGACCAGATAGGAATCTATAACATTTTTTTTCTGCTGTTCAATTAGCTGTGGTACATATCTAGATACTATTGTAAATTATGCTTCATATTGCATCACTAATTTATCTCCTTGAATCAATCTTATAAATTTATCCCGCATCTGTCTCGTTGTTGACATAGGTATGAATCATTGTTTGTAAAATTCCACAAAGTCTTCCCAGTTAACCAATGTATTTGGAATATCTCCTAACTTGTCTTCACGTTTCCCTCTCCACCACCTTTTTGCTTCTCCTTTCAAGGCAAAAGTAGCTAGTGACACTTTTCTCTCATCAGGACAGGACATGCTATCCAATATTTTCTCTATACGAAGAAAACAATTCTCAACCTCAATTGGTCCCTAATTACCTTTGAATAGAGGCGATCACATGTCCTGAAATAACTTTAGGTATTTATTAACTCCAACACCTTGCTGCAATCTTGATTGCTGAAGTAACTGTGTCATAACCGTCGTCATCTGTGTGAAGGTGTTAGTGTTTATAGTCACTTCAGGTGGTACTTCTTCTCTTTTTGTATTTGTGTTGGTTACGTCCTCTTCATTATCTGTATACTTGATATATTTATTAATTAATTCTATTATCTAATCAAATATTTAAATTATTCTAAAATAAGTTCATAAATCATTCATATGACTCTTTCATTATGATTCACATTTCTAAGATACTTCATCGGGATTTGATATAAGTTTGGTCACAATCTGATCTGGAGGCTCTAATTAACTAGGTGGGAACAGATGATCAGATGATACATTAAAATTTTATTTTAAATATTA